AAGATCCACAGCATCTACGGAAGCCATCAAGTGTGAGAGCTTAGGCAAGGTCAGGCTTACCTCCATTTGGAGGATGAAGACCATGGATCATTCTTCCTATTACTCTAAGATTTTTTTGCAATAGCCTTAACATAGTCTATCAACTTGGTTTTCTATAGCTACTGGCAGATACATACCATTAAAAGGGGGAGGTGGGTGAGAGGTACAATATGCTCATTTCATAAACAGTGAGGCTATCAAGAGCTGGCATCTTGTTTTTCAGCTTGGTGCGGGGAGAGAAGTAAATCAAAGGAATGGGTGGTGACAGCCGGGAGGGTCAGGGTTATGGGAATATGTAGGAGGAAGGGAGTAATGAGCAGGATTTTGGCCAAAGACTGAGAGGTGTTCCCCGGTGACATTATTTCATTAGATTTTCACAGTATTCTTATAAGATGGGTAGAACAAGTAGCACTATCGCCATTACGTTGATGAGAAAAATGAAGCCCGAGCTGTTAAGTGACTTGCTTTGAGCTCTGACAATAGGGGACTAAATCAAAAGTGGACACCACATCTGCTGATTCTCACTTTATTCTGCCAGATCAATAATGAAGTTGAAGTATCTGTATGGGCCTGTGAAAATTCTCTGACCAGTCATTCTTACTGTGGCCCTTAAGACCGTGGTGACCTGCCTACTCTTTACCTTTCGTCTTCCTAGCTCTGCCCTGGCTGTTAATGAGCTCCAGTCACACTGAACTCATTCCATCTTCTCTTCTACCCAGCTGCTCCCCATCTTTCAGCTCTCTCTCTCTGACATGTTTCTTCTCCCAAAGAGTCCTATCTAATGTCTCCGAGTCAGTGAAAATTGACCCTCCCTCATGCTCTGTAGACTTTGTTCTTACCCCTAGTCTAGCACCATTCTGTAACTGCCTATTTTTCTATCCCTGTATCCATCTTAAACTTCTTAGGGATAGTGATTTTCTTATTTAGCATTACATCCCCAGTGCCAAGCACAGCTTTTGGCATATACTAAGCCTCTCAAGAGTTTGTTCAATCAATCAAGCCAAGATCAGAAGGTATGATCATTTTTAAAATTCACTTTTACATTTTAGATTACAACCAAGCCCTTCTGCTATTGATAGCCTAAATTTAGTTTTGTACAATCAACAAATGTTAACCAAGATGTTTAGTACTTCTATGGGGTTGTATGTCCAGGCTTCTCATAGTGCTTGTTATATAACAGGTCCTCAGTACATAATTTTGCAATGAATTACTTAGTACAAAGATGATTAATATACCGATTTCCTAAGGCGTTTAGACAATGTCTTGCATGTAAATAATGATGATACGGGACAGAATATGAAAAGAGTCATATGGGAAGAATTTTGGGTAGCTTTTCTTTTGCTAAGCTGGAAAACATGATTGCAAGGAGTGAGGACTTAAAGGAGGCCCGTGTAATAACCGACTCCTGGGAAATAGACAGCAGAATTTGATGTAGCCTGTGGAAATAAAAAATGGCTTAACTCATCTCCACAAGAAAAATATGCCACCTACTTGTTCATTATGTATTTGTAGTGATGCCCTTAAATATCACCAGAGTCACAGGTATTTAGAAAAATATCAAAATGCTTTCTAGACAAGATGCCACACTAGTAGGACAGAAGTCATATTTATAGGAACAGAGTAAGGGTCTGCAGCACGATTGTAGTTGTTTTGATCTCCAGTTCAATGTGTTCTTGATGGGCTATCTTCCATTTCACCTGCCTCTCCGAGGACTCTTAATGAACATTTCTGGAAGTACTCTCTCCTGCATGTATTTAAGGGCTCACTGTAGAAAGACTGAAGTGTCATAGATACAGAGTTCAGGCCCTTCATCCCAGCAGCCTTGGTTTGAAACCCAGCCCCACCACCTAATAGCTACACAGTCTTGGGTTATTAACTGAACCTCGCCATGTTGGAATTTTAAATATATGAACCTATAAAAAATTCTCCTTTCTGCTTAAGCTACTTTGATTGCATTTCTTTCACTTGCCGCTGCATGAGTGCTAGTACAATATCTACTAATTCCTGAGAACTGCTTGAGAAGATTTCACCATATAAAGCAATTGGTATTCTCGTTACATCCATGTCTCTGGAAATCATATAACCAGTATTTATTGTCCTGCTAGCATTAGGATTATAAAGATGAACAAGATAAACAGGGTGCTTCTCTTTGATGGTACAATAATGACTAATTGTTTTCAAAAACATTAACTTTTACTCTACTTATTCCAAAATGTTTTCTCTGGAGAGCTGAACATCTTCTCTTAGTAGAAGTGTATCTTAAAACCAAAGACATCTCATCCATTTTAATACAAACATACAAACTAAAATGCAAAGCAGGAACTTTGTGGTGAAAGTTTCATTTATTTATTTTCGATAAAGTAAATCCCAAGCCTCTGGCTGTTCTTTATGAAACTTTCCCAAGGCGGGAGGATTTTTCAGTGTAATGAAATTAATGGTGTCATGACTGGAGGACAATCACTCATTCTGCTGTATGCTTTTTTGGCTCTTCTCTTCTCCATTTGCCTATGATGATGTAATTTGTCTCCTGATAATGGATGGGCTTCTTCTCCCTTTCAGTCACTTGCATGAGACACTGAAACTTGCTCAAGACATGTCCAAAGTTCATCTGCTTAGAGGACTTTTTTTTTGAGTCTTTCACGGTTGATGAAAATAAATTCATAGTCGTGATGCAAGTACAAGTGTGTGTGTGTGTGTGTGAACGCGCGCGCGTGCGCTTTGTCCTTAAAATGTATGCAGTGGCCTTTTAATGTTATATGGTCAGGCTGCCGTTGCTGTGGATACAATAACCAAATTGTCTGACCTTTGAGGGTAGGGAGATGCACGGGTGGCAGCTCTGATCAGAGCTGAGGATGGATGATAGAATGAAAGTAAAAATTAAAGAGTAAGGGGCTCTTTATATCTTAATGTTCAGATCAGAGCAATCTGTTCTTTCCCTGTGTCTACCAACAGTATCTGTCAGAGCAAGACTGAAGACTTAGTAGTATTCCTTTAATTATATACTATTTATTTTGGATCCTGGATGAGTGGAGTTTTAGAGTTCTTGATTAGATTATAGATGGTCTATAATTTTTTACAAAGCATAAAATCATGCTTTCTGGTAATGGCACACATTATATCCAGATTAGTGTCCACACAAGACAGTGTTACTGTTAAGACAGCAAATGCGTGCTTTTGTTTGGAATGTACCAAGTTGATTAGTCAACTGAATACTTTCTCTGTTCAGAAGAGATCACTTTCTAGGACCTCTATGACCACCCGGGAGTTTCTCTGTGGCTTCCTTTCGTATCATTAAGATTTAGAAGATGCGCCAAATGAGAAGTTCATATATCTGTGTTTCTTCTGTTCATACTACATGTCAGGGGAATGTGAGGGAAGTGTGGAATATGGGGAGGGGCATCATCACCCTAATTGCTAGAGGGAGGGTCCTGTATGCCCAGTACAGTGTTAAGCTCTATGGATACAGACATGAATAGGAAATGATTCCTGCCCTCAAGAACTTGCTTGGCAGACTGCATATTGAGTAGGGGCAGAAAGGAGTAAAGTCAGCAAATGCAGCCAAATATAAAAGGAAGAAGTGAGACCAATGGGATGGGCAGGAAAGAAGCTGAAGGGAAAGGATACTTGAGATGGGACCCAAAGGAAGGGCAGACCTAGATAACAAGGAAAGACCATGTTCAGTGTTAGTAAATTTCAGAACTTGTAAATACGCTGCATGTATTTTTTGAATGTGTCAAATATTATATTAAAATAGAGGTAAGGTCAAGCAAGTAGTGTGAGCAAAGATACACATGGGGCATGATCTAGTGGTTAAGGGACTTTGGGTAGTTTGGTTCTGTTGGGGAAGCAGAAGGTTTTACTAGGTATTCTGTAGCAATGAAGATGCTGAGACAATTGTGGGGCCCACAAAGTCCAATGGGACAGGCAGGAAAGAAGCTGAAAGGAAAGCATAGCTTGAGATGGGAAATCTGGCATTCTGTAGATACCAGATGCCTCTGAAGGCAACGGGGTTTAAACTCTAAAAATTTGAGGTCAAGGTGAAGAATCTAAAATGGCAATAACAGGGTAAATTGTCACCACTGCTTAGAGAGAAGTAACCAGTCAGTAAATGTGAATTGAACTTGGTTGCAGATAAAACCCATGCAAAACCAACCCAAAAAACACTTTGGAATTGCTGCTGATGTTTGTAGTGGTCATAACTTACTGGCTCTTGCTGAACTCTTCCACAGATCTTTCTTCAGGATTTTTTTCCCTGGGTTATTATCACTTCTGGCCTGGTCACTATGAATACGACTTAAAAAGAAGGGGCTATAAATGACTAGTTTTTTGCCTATGAAATTATATAAAGTATGTGTAGTATGTTAGATATTTTTTTTCCAATATGGAGCCTTGAGTGAGTCATAGACAGATTTTTTTTCATCTTGAGAAATTGATCCACTTTGTTATTGTACAGGTGATGACATGGTCACCTCCAAGTTTCCACATACTCATCAACAAGATTGTGAAGATGCACTTGGCATTCTCAACTCAGAAGGTTTTTTTTTTCCCAAACAAAATAGGTAACCTGTGTCTCAAAGTTAATATACACATGTTGCTTCCCATGCAGGGAAGTCAGAGTGAGAGCAGGTGCTTTGGCACAAGGTAGTAGAACAACATCCTACAGGTTTTGTTTGTGGGTGTGTGTTTTGAAATCAAGTGTATGCTAAAAATGGATAACAGCCTTTCTTTCTTTTTCTTTCTTTCTTTCTTTCTTTCTTTCTTTCTTTCTT